CACACCAGAGTCCCTGAATGCTGGACCAATGCACCTAGTCACTTGCTCTTTGGCTGGACTTTTAACTTCAGGACTCACACCGGGAAAGAAACAAAACGTGATTCAGTTGCAAACTGGCTGACAAAGCAGAGTATGAAAAAAGGTTTAAATCTTAACTTTAAAATAAATAAACTATGGGTGTGGTCATAGTGGGCATTTTTTAGAACAGAGCCCATTTCATTAACTGCCTTTAAAAATAAACTCATTTGTTTTGAGTCTGAATTAGGTTTCTTTCTTCCTTGGGTAAAGGGCTGTCCTCAAAAATAAAAAAAATAAATGTGCTTCAGTCATTTCCTCAGCTATGAAATAAAGAAGGTACACAAATCTTTATCAGATCCTTTATGTGCCAGGCACTGTGTGTGCTCAGTACTTTCACACATGCTGCCTGATATAACCCTGACCACGCTGGAATCAGAGATGTGAATGAACTTACGGAAGGTCACACAGCTACTAAAAGATTCTAACCCAGGTGTGCCCAAGTCCCTTACTCACCCAAAACTTCTCCCTGAGGAGAACAGGACCATCCTGAATTTTTCTTTCCCTCTCCCTGCCCTTACCTCTCCATGGAGTAGTTATCACAGCAAAGTTGTTCAAAATGGTCATGGTCATAAAAATAAAGTCTAAGATTGAGAAACTATCACAGACAAGAGGTGACCAAGGAAACAAAGTGACAACTAAATGCAATCCTGGGATACTGGATCGCAAAAAGGAATTTATTTGGAGAAACCAGTGCAATCCAAGACTGCAGTGTGTTGTTGCAACTGCACATCTTAACAGTCTTCCACCCTCCCTCTTGCTGCTAATCCTTTCTCATGCTGCTTCCAGTATCATCTTTCCAAAGCACAGATCTGATCATGTTATTCTCTTCTGCATATAACTCTCTTGTTCCTCCCTCTCTCACCCCAACCTTAGAATGGAGATCAAACATCAAACCTTCAGGGTCTGTCTCCAGCACCCTCTTCAGACTCTTCTCACTGCACGCCCCGCCCCCTCCACTCCTTGACTGTGTTCAGATGTTGCTGAACATGCTATTGTTCTCAGAAATCACCAGGCTTTCCCCTCCTCTGGACTGCTTGGCACATGATTTATCACCTCCGTACTACTTGGCCTGCCATGATATAAAGTAGACCTCTCTCAGACCTCAGATGTCACTTCCTCCAGAAAGCCCTCCTGATTTCCCCAGATCCTATATCTGGGTTAAGTCCCCTCTGAGTTCCCATAACCCCCAGCAATCAACTTCCATGGCAGTGCTTCTCATCTGATATAGCATTCATGTTATATCATCTCTCCTTTCTCTCCTACAGTTGAAACCCCCACCCCTGAAGCACGAAACATGTGCACTGACTTTCATTTGGGGATGGTCTTCCTCTATGCTGCTTGCCCCACTGACCTCATGGCTCAAGGAGAAACTCGTGGTCTCCCTTCCACACCCCTGCCACTTGTCAACAACTCTATTTTCAATTCACTCCCCATCAGTTCTAGGCTATTTGCCAGAGCAACAAGATGTAGCTTCAATTTTGTTTTGTTTTCATCATATTTGTTTTACTTATGAAATTCTATTTACTAGTTTTGTAAATGAAATTGTATTTACAAGAAAATACAAGTTTTTCTTCTGTATAGACCTATCATCTTTTACAAATTAATTGATAGTGAAGGGAATAATAAACTCCCTTAGAAAAAGCTTGATGAATATTCAGCTCCACATATAGTGATAAATATGTGAGTATGCACACAATGCATGATACGCCCATGCATGTCTACATGCTTGCACACGTGTGCACACACCGGTGTGTATATATATACACACACGTGCATACATGTGCTCAACTATGACGTTCACTCTGCATGCGAGAAACCCTGTCCTCCAAGTACCATCCTGTGTCGTGCTGTCATTAACTACCTGCGTGACTGCAAGAAAATTACTTTTCTTCTTCTCAGCTTACTCACCTGTCAAAAAGAAGAGAATAAAACTGTGTCATAAAAATACGATTTCACCTTTCAGTTACCATCTCCTCCTATTTATAAGGTACAGATATCATATTTCTGTGAAAGAACAGAGAGGTGGTCTTTATTTGTTATGTTAGAGAACAGAAATCTGAAGTGTATAGAGACTAAGTGACTTGCCCAAGGTCAGCTTATAAGCTTATATCAAATCCTAGACCAAAATTCAGATTTTTCCACCGCCAGGTGATTTGTTTCTCAGCCGCGATTCTGACACCTTCCATTTCTCTGTGCTCCCTTCCTCAGAAAAACTTTCGTCCAAAGTTATATTTCATTTAACAAGCACAAGCAAACACACACACACACACACACACACACACACACATGCACCTATGCACACACATACCTGTGCACACAGGCAGTAAATACAGCTTCAAACAATGGAAAAACAAGAAATAAAAGGAAAAAAACAACATTGGCTTTCAAAGCGCTAACACAGTTGGATCGGGAAATAATATATGAAAGTTGAGAAAACATGTTGTCATTCACTCCTTGGTCTTTATTTAGATTAGATACAAGGAGCCAGGAGCCGGCGGGCCAGGCAAGTTTGGGTGCGGATAGAATAAAGACGGTAACTCATTCATTTTTGGCCACAGTTTATGTATAAAAAAAATCCTGCTTGAACAGAGACCCAATTCAATCATCACTTCATTCTCCATGGGTCATGAAAAAAACAACATCAAACCATATTTTTAAAATGGGACTTTTAAACACTTCTAAAGACAATATTAGCAGAGGAATTTGCATGTAGCATTATTGCAATGCCACAGCACAATGCCTTTCCCCTTTAAAAAATAGTTTATCATAGTGTTTGGAAATGTACTAAATATTTTAAAGGCAAATTTACCAGATTTACAGGTGAACCAAAGTGCTGAATTAGACGAGTTTAACCAAAATTCCCAACAAAATACACGAGGGGTGGATACACTGTCTTTAACTGAAATATGTGTACATGGAGCAATTGAGAAGATCCTGCTGAGCAGAAGCTCATGGGGAAAGATGGTACCATTGGCCGTGGGCTACATATGAAGCGTGGTATGATGTGGCTAGGGGGAAGGAAAACCTAAAGGCAAGGTGGAAACACAACCTTCGATTTCCATCAGCACAGTCTTATCCCTCTGCACTCTCTGCCCACCAGCCAAGGCCAACGGCCTGGTGTAGCTAAGAGAACCCCACTTTCAGAGGGACAGAAATCTGACAAATGAAGACTAGTAGGTTGTTGGGTGGGACTAGGCAGAAGGTGTGTAACTTGAGTCAAATGAGGGAGCGGGGGTGCAACGGCCTGGAGGTCTGGACCCAGCACCTCATAGGTGTCAGAGGCAGGATGGTCTGGAGCACGCACCCAGCTGTCTCCCAGGAATGTTTTGAAAGAATTCTGAGTCATCAGAGTCATCCCCCTCTGCCTATGGCTTTTATGCAGCGGGAGCGAAACCACATTGATTTTATGTGGTAGATTGGGTCATCTCATTTCCTTCTCAGAGAAAACTTTCTTTTCTTTTTTTCCCCCAGAGAAGACTTTGTAGAGTAGAAAGTACTTTTTCCCAAGCTCCTAAAGATGAGTGGCTATGCAGAGAAGTTTGGAGAATCACAGATCTGACACTGACTCAACTCACCCCACCAAACTACCAAATATCTACTTGGCCTAAGACGTGAGGGAATCAAAAACAGATGGGCCAACAGTAAAATCTAAACTGAAGGCAGCTAGTGTCTTATCTATGGTTAAATCCACTCACAAGTAATAGTTTCCAAGTCAGGATCAACCGCCTGCATTTGAGTCGCCTGAGCTGCTCATTAAAGCGCATGTTCCAGGCCCTCCCGGGTAGTTCAAGAGGTTAAGTCCACACTTATGAAGCCATCACCAGTCACTGCAGCACAAGTTCGATCCTCAGCCAGGGAGCTGACGCACATGGCGCAGCAGACCTGCCTGTTTTGCTCCCCATTCTGTCTCTGGTGAATCCTCTCATCACCCCCCTCCCCACTCCTCGGCCTTCGTCACAGCTCTTTTATGCATAATAAATAAAATAAATCTTAAAAAACAATAACACATGCTCCAGACCCCATGGATTCCAGTGCTGGGGAAGAGCCAGAAAGTCATGTCCCATATTTCCCCCCAAGGCTGTTTTACACGCAATCTGAGAACCACTGTTCTAGAGCCTGTCTATGCTCCTCATGTGCTTGTGTGCACTAAGGTGCCCTGGGGAACAAGTAAAGCTCACCTGGGTTCCAGAGACTTCAAGATCCTGGGGAGGGTAGTGGGAGTGGGGAGGAGTGAAGGACATGGGCATGAATTGACATTTCAAACACTCTCACAGGTGACGCTGCTGGTGCAATCAGTTGACCACATGTTGGCTTCATTGTCTATCAAAGAATTCAGGCCTGTGGTGGGCAGCTTCAACTTCCCTTATATTCACACCCTTGGTAACGCCTTTCTTTTTTGTGTGCCTGGGCCTAAGGACACTTACCGGGAACAGAATCAGCACAACGAAGGGAACTTCACTTAAGAGCTTAGGTTACAAAAGGGCATGACTTCATGACTTCACTGGTTTCCCCAAGCTCTACCTGTTGTGAGCTTTCCTGGAGAGACCACGTGGCAAGGACCCCCAAAGGCAGCTTCTGGCTAGGAGTGAGCAAGCACTGACTCCCACAAACAGCCATGTGAGTAAGTACGGAAGCAGATCCTTCTTGGTGAGGCTGAGTGGTTGCAGTTGCCTCAGAGGCTTGGAGTAACTTGATGAGCCACCATGGGTGGGGACCCAGCTACCTCAGGATCGGTCTTCCTACAGAAACCATGAGCCAAAGTTTCAAGGCAAAAGCTAGGCAGCGATGGGTGACTGGTAGGCATGCTCTGCAAAGGAGCTACCCTGAAATCAACACAACACCTGCTACTTCAGCCATCCTTCAAGTCTGCCATTTCTTCTCTCCCTATCAAAGAGGAGACACACGTGTGCAAATGTCAATGGGCAACATTTAATAATGTACACTGTTTACATGTCACTTACAGCATCATTTTCTTGGTGTTCAGTTTTTAAGCTTTAACCCTTGAGAAGCTTCCCCAAGGTTTCTGGGGGGTTGTGTCAGAGAAGAGCCTGGAACATGGTAGAGAAGGTGAGTCTACCTCAGATCTCACTGTCTGTGCCTTCCAGCTGGCTCTCCTGATGTCCTTTTGGGCTAAGGACACATTGAATTGCCTCCTGCCAGTGCCCAGAGACAAGAAGAGTGATACCTCCTTTGGTTCTTGCTGAAGAGAAAGGAATGGAGCTAGCAGGGCAAGAGTCCACCACTGAGCAATGTAAGTGAGAGGAAGAGTCCCATCGGCCATCTGGTTTCCTCACAGAGGAAGGAGATAGGTTTCCTAAGGCGAGGTTTCTCATGTTGAGAAAGTAGACATGGGTGTGAAAGGGCCAGTCTACTGGAAGGCTCTAGACACACAGCCAGGACTCCTAATCCCTGCTCTATCACCCATCCCTTGAGTGGCTCAAATGAGACCCCTGCCTCTGGACTGTTCTGTTCCCATTGTAAAATGAGAGGGGCAACTGGTCAGGGGATGACTCAACCCCCAGACAGATCAGTGTCCAGGAGGCTGGGCAGGGGGGAAGTTTCTGACCGGGACCACTGGTGGGAGATGGGACAGCTCTCCTCAGAGGGCCAGGCCCCCACCACTCAGCCACCGTGCCCTCTCTGAGGAATGCCCAGAGGAGCTGCTGTACCACAGGGGGCTGTGGCAGATGTCGTCCAGCCTGCTTCTAATGGTGTCTTGCAACTCCTCGTCACCCAGCAGGACCGCTGCTGCGTGGGCCAGCCAGAAGTATTCCGTGGCATCGTGGGCATCCTAACCCCATGGCAGGGGTAAAGAAGAGACAGCATTAGCAAGCATTTCCAGGACAGGCTGTGAGACAGTGCCAGGAGCTCTGGGAGCCCTATCAGCCAGTTCCCTGGGGAGCTCTTCCCCTACACCACTATGGTCCCCCATGATCCCAGCCCAAGAGCGGAATCTGGCCAGACTTGACCAATCTCAAAGGAGCACTGCCCTAGACCCAGCGCTTCAGAGTTGACCCATCCAGTCACCACGTGGGACCTTTCTGTGTGTCCTGGCAGAGAAAGTGGTCCTATTCCCTTTTAGATATAGAGCTGAAGGAGAGGAAGGGCAAGAAATAGAAGTAGAGGGCCCACCCTGGCGGCTCAGTGGGCACAGCACTATGAAGCTAACCGCAGCCAAGTTGAATCCTTAGCTGGGAGCTGACCCACATGCCGTGGCAGACCTCTCCTGACCCACCCACTGCTCCCCTCAGCAGTGTACTTCCTCTATTTGCCTGTCCTGCTCCTCACTCTGTCTCTGGTAAATTCTCTCACTGCCCCTGCACCTCTGGCCTATACCCCAGTTCTGCATGCATAAATAAATACATCTTAAAAGAAGAAGAAACAGAAGCAGAAACATCAGAACCAAGACATAGAGATAGGCGGGGAAGCTCCTGAAGACATTTCAGTAGCAGCATCCAAAAGAACTAGAAATTACATTACTCCTGAGCCTGCCAGTCTCTGTGTCAATACACTGTCATTTCTTTTGTTTAAGGTAGTGTGAGATGAGTTCTTGTCTTTACAATTCCTAGAGCCCTTGGTTCATGCAATTCAATCCCACATACTTGGTCTCTGAGCCACTTCCTGAGAGCTGCGAGACACAGTAACAGGGCTGGGAGTCCTTCAAGAACCTCCACCCGACCCTCAGCCCTCCTTGTATTCCCCAGGAATAAGCAACAGATGCATCTTTGGGTGAGATTCAAAAAGAGATGTCTGGTTCCCATTAACCCCCATAAGTCAATAATTAATTCAAGCCAGAAACAATGTCTGGAAAATAGGAAAATCACAGCAGAGAGCCCCAAATGCCCCCACGGGGCCAAACAGGCAGTCACCGTATTAAGAGATGAGGTTGGAGCTGGAACAGTCTGGGAGCTCTGGCAAGAGGAAGTCAACGCTTCCAAAGCCAGAATTGTAACAGAAGAAAGGACCACCTACACATTTCCAGGCGGAACAAGAAAAAAATAAGAAGTCCTAGATTCTACTCCAGCACAAGTAGGAGAATCAAGACCAAGCCCTTGTCAGGACCTAGGCTGTTTCCACTCCAAGATCTCATATCTCAACCTATTTTCACCTCAACATATGTTTATCTCAACATATGTTTATCTCAGATACATGCACCTAATTTTAGATTTCTCCAAAAATATTGATGTGTGTATGTAACGTTACAGGAAGTGGATGTGGTTGATCAGTTAACTTATAGCATTTTGCAGACATAGGAAAGATAAGCTTCCCCACAAATATTTAGATAAGCTTTTCCCAGCCCTTGTCACCTTGGCTTATGGAGCTAAAATCAATCAAGATCCCGTGGGCTCGATAGTTTCAGGAGAAACTATCACCTTACCTGAAATTACTCAGACTTAGGGTCATCTCCAAAAATCACCATATTTTCAGTGACCTCTCTCTTTGGCAGGCAAACATCTAGAACATCTGGTTTCTCACATGCCTCACTCTCTCTCACTCTGACCCCCACCTCTCTTCTTGAAGCTCCAGCCCCCTAGACCCTTCTTAGCTCAGGATATAAGTCCTCGGTCTATCCCATTTATTCTAGAATTAACATCCATGTAACTTCTCCCATTAAATTTTTTCTCATAATTTATCTAATGTGAATTAGTTTGCTTGACTAACCTGAGGAGAAACAAGAGGGGTCCCCTGTGCCCCTAAACACGCAGGTAAACATTAATGTTGGAGGTGAAAGGTCTTTGTTTTGGGGCTCACTTGTTATTTGGGATGTCATATGTTTCACAGGACTCTCAGGAGCTCAGCTGAGCTTCTGAGCAGCATTGCCATACCATTGGTGGATGACGTGGGCACAGAGGTCGAAGAAGAGCAAGGAGAATGAGGAGCTGCGGTCAATCTCCAGGCAAAGATTGGAACCCTCTGAGGCCTCCAATATAGCCAGGTAGAAAACCATATGGGGGCCACCCTACGTCTGACACATAACTCCCTGACTTGGTTCTCAACTCTGCCCCAAAGGTTCAGCATCCTAAGGCTAGCTGGTAGTTCTTGCCCAGAGTTGAAGCCTGACTCTTACCTTCAGCTGCTGGAAGGTGAGTCGGCCAAGGCGGTAATACACCTTGGCATAGTATAGGGCCTCCTTGGGGCTGTGCAGAGGGGCTGGGCAGAGAGACAGCGTCTTCAGGTAGCAGTCCTCGGCCATCTCATACATGTGCAGGGAATAGTACACAGTCGCCAGACGGTGAAAGGCCACCAACATCTGCCTCTGATCCCCTAGGAATGGAAGACAGAGAGGGATCTACAGACAAGGCTTCTCATCATTTGTTCACGCATTCATCCTGGACAGCTTCTTTTTGGGTATTTTTTGTTTTCAAACTCCCTTGTCCATGTTTTCACAGTATAAAATTTCTCCCCTTGAGATAAAAAATGGGGGAGGGGCAGTGCCCAGGACTATGGTGAAGGCACACGGGTGAATCGGTGATGGGAAATCCATGGGGATTACAACTGAGATGGAAAAAGGCACAAAAGGATGCTAAAACTATAAAAAAAATTCTCTCCTTGGGTATAGTCACCATAGTTTTCCCACCCACTGAAGTACCCACAGTGCTCCAACACCCTCCCTCTTGTTCTCTCCCTTCTCCCTACCTTTCCTCACCCCCTTCCTGTCTGAGATCTATGATCTGCTTCAAGGGTTGGTCTTAACAGTTTATCTTTGTCTTACCTTTATTTAGTGTCTCTGGATTCCACATTTAAGTGAAACCATCAAGAATAATCTGTGAAGCTTTCTGAAGGTCTATTAGAGTCAGAGATTAGATTGGGGACATCAGGGACAAAGTAGAGAGACCTTACCTTGAGGAGGCCAATGGTCTCCTAGAACAGAGACACTGCTTAAATAATCTTACAAAGGCAAAAATTGCACCTGTGCTAAATATGATATCAGGGTTTGGAGCAAGTCACCCAAACCCAGTACTGGTGGTTGTACTTGTTACTTTGAATTAAAGATACTTAAGAAAGAGCTGGTTAAAGAAGACATCATGACCCTCCGCCATCTCCCTGAAAGCAGGAAAGGCTCTCTGTCTCTGGGCCCAGAGAGACACCGTTATTGCCAAAGAGAGAAATTATGTAAAACAAATTCTGCCGGGCCCTCCCTGGTGGTGCAGTGGATTAAAGCACAGCACTAAGAAGCTAAAGCCACTTCAGCATGAGTTCTAGAGATGACCCACATGGTGCAGCAGACCTCTCCTGTCTTGCCCACTGCTCCCCTCAGCAGTGTACTTTGTCAGTCAGCCTGTTCTACTCCCTGCTTTCTCTGGTGAATCCGCTCACCACCTCTGCACCTCTGACCTGTACCCCAGTTCTGTATGCATAAATAAATAAATCTTAAAAAACTCTGCCACTTCTTCATGTTAGCACCTCAGCTCAAGAGTTTCTTGGTCATTTATCCAAGTTTACTATTTCTTTCAGCTTTCATTACTTCTCAGAATCTCATGTCTTGAGGCTCCTGTATATATGAACTTAAATATAGTTTTCTCCTGGTAATCTGTCATGTCAATTTAATTATTAGGCTAATGAAAAGAACCCAAAAGGGTAGAAAGAAATGTTTTCTCCCCTGCAGTTACCAAAGAAAAGCATAGCAGGAAATGCTTTTCTCCCCTACGGCTACAAAAGAAAAGCCAGGGGCTCTCTAGAAGAGTGAGCAGAGTGTAGTCAAAGTTTTCAGAGATGATTCCTGAAGAAAATTTTCTGCAGATGTCCCTGGAACTTGAGTTTCTAGAGAAGAGTGCTTTCCAAATCCCTGTGATGGGTCACATACGATGACTGTCAAGACTAGCTTGACAGAATAGCTAAGAATCTTTTCGAACTACCCAAAGGTGTATAACTAACAATGACCCACAGTTTGTTTCTGCAGGGAGTTTCCTGGGGCGGTCCTCCTAGTCACCTCCGTCCCTGGCCAGCTCCCCATCTCAGATAAGCTACGAGACCCACTCATTCTGGTTTTTGTTTTTAAACATGCTTGTTTTACATTGATTTCCAATAGGTCTATGACTTGTTTTGGTTTTTGGTAGGTTTCATAACTAATTTCTTTAATACAATGTGGCCTTTTAAAGAGAACAAAAATTTCCAATTGTGTGTTTGGAATACTTGCAAGGTAGCTGTTTGATGCAATCTAAAAATATCACTTTTAGGCTTCAAAGGGCCAAAAGGCACACTTAAAAGAAAAAAAATCTCTGATATGGAAAAATCCAGTCCCAGGGAAATGTGTGAAAGGGTCATGCTAACCTCCTTTCAGTTTTTGCCCAGGGACAGATAACAGAGCTCAGAGAGGGAACTGCCCAAGCCCCCAAGGCCTTTCCCGGGATTGGCAGAGAGCAACCCCTCAGTTAGGTTTCTGCAGTAAGGAAAATGGTAGGGATAGAAGGAGGAGAGCAATTAAACACTACAAATATCTCACACCCTTGATCATACCAGAAGTCCCTTCTAGAATCTTCACCCAAGACTCCATTTGCCCAACATCTAATCCAGGTTTATCTCATCAAACTGCATATCTCAAACACTAACAATTGAGATGAGTTTTTTTTTTTTTTCCTTCAGTCTTTTTTTGTTTTCTGTATGTTATTCTCTAATAGCTTTTGGTATAAGCACAAGTTATGTCAGCTAAGTAGTGAGTTAAGTTCCTGGGAATCCACCATGCACATTTTAATACTTGGGGGAGATGTGCTTTTGACTAAGCACTGAGCAATAAAAACGTTAGGGCACAGTCCTTTGGGAGGTGGGGGCAGGGGCCCTTGTTGGTGCGGAGAATAAAATACCATTTACCCTGTGTTGATGAGCAATTCCAATTCTACTATAATAATAATTAATGCGGTGCTGATATCAAGTACGTATTTTACACCAAGCACGATACCCTAGGCGTCACACAGATTATCATTGCTCCTCACAACTGCAGAAGATGTGTTCTTACTTTCATCCTGATATCATTTGCCAGTGACAGACTTGGGGCTTAGAGACATTAACTAGACATTAATTGACTGTTGGACCCGGGATCTGAACCCACAAAGTCTGATTTCAGAGTGTCTGCTGTCACTGCTTGGCTGTCCCTCCTCAGGGAGTGTTTCCCCTTCCATTCAAACATCAGCAGGAAAAGCCACCTACCTGTGACTGTACTGAGTCTGGCAGCCAGAGTAGCAAATTCTAGAGCCTTCTCATAGCCTTTCAGGCTAATCTGCAGCTCGGTCAGTTTGTTGAAAATCCGGAGCTCCGTTCTCAATGCCTTCAGCCTCCTTGCCAAAGGAATAGCCCCAACCTGAGAACACAAGTGGAGGGGTTCAGAACATGCCTCTCCCAAATAGGCTGCTTTGAGATATGGACAGCTAAAGGCAAGTTGCACCCAGCCAACTCAGGAAGCCTTTTTCTGTCTTTCCCTTGATTGTGTTAAGTAATTTGTATAGAAAATACTGTCCAGGAAGTGAGCTATAAGTACAAAAACCCGTAAGTACAAAAACAAAAACAAAAACATGTATATAGATGCTAAGTGCAGTAGACTGGGGGACACTTAGCACAGACTGGGTTCAAAGTCTCTGTGCCCCATTGTTCTGTAGGCTCAGGAAACATTAGTTAGCAAACATTTGCTCTTCTCCTGTTCCTGTGAATTGCCTTCCTTCCCTTTGAAGTCCCAGATGCCATCGCCCAAGATTGCAGATATACCTCATGTTGCCTCTCAGGGGTTCCTGGGTCATTGTGTGGCCTCCCCTCCCCCCACATGGTAATTAAATCTGTTTGTCTTCTGTTAGCCTATTTTATGCCATTTTAGTCATTAGAACAGCCAAGGAACCTACAAGAGTAGAAAGAAAGAAAGTACTTGCCTCCCAGCGATAGCACAGGACTCTGAGCCTAGGCAAGACTCATGGTAAAGATGGACTCTGAGAGGTGTCATGCCTTAGGCAGGGCTGTGCCACAGGTGGGTGGCAGTGGCTAAAAGCAAAGGATGACAGGGATGTTTCCAAGTGTGACTTTCCTTAATCCACTCATCTAGTCCTTGCTCTTGGTTGCTCTGCACAGAACTCAGAGGTAGAATAACTAGAAGTCATCAGGCCTCCTAAAACTGGAAAAGCTGAATGTGGGAAGGAGGAGATGACTTTCCAGGGTCACATGGGAAGTTATTCCTCTCCTAGCTACATGTGCCCTCAGCACCATATCTCCAGAGTGGGCGCATGTGCTACTGGCATGGTGTCTGAGAGTGCCCAATAAATGGTCAGTTCTATTACTTTTATTATGATAGATTTGGAGGCAGGTCAATTCACCTCTCTGAGCCTTTATTTTCTCATCTATAAAATACATATAAAGATAAGCACAACAGTCGGGAAAGTGCTTCCTGCTCTCCCCGCCCCCCCAGCTCAGTGCCTAAAACTTACTGAGTGCTTGATAAAAAGTGGGTTTGATACTGGATAAACAATTGACAAGTGAATGAATATCTTAATAAGTAAAAATATTAATCATGGATGAACAACAAATATGATTTTTGAAATTCTGTTAACTTCGGGTATTGGTATTATTTATTAAGCCAACCCTTGTTATTTTGCCTCATCCTCTGCAATAATAGCTTTGAAATTATGGATTAGATGAACTGGTGTTACACATTTTTAATTTTTAAAACTATATTAAAATGCATGCTTGATATAAACATAGTAAAAACATTCATTCATGACCCCTTTAAAATCATCTCCCACCATGCCACCAGCAGTACATGAAAACATTCTGGAAAGCATGAAGTGTGCTACACTTCAATGCATACAGAAAGGTGATGATTAGAGTGTGTTTATCAAGCACAAGAATGATAAACTGTAGCTACAGCCTTCTGGAGAGTGCAATACAGAAGAGAGGACATTGTGGGCATTGAGAGGAAGGGAAGAAAAAGAAGCACCAGTCAGAGAAGGGAAGGGGTCAGATCCGAGGCCCCAGTCCACATGGACCTCAGCTTGCCCAGCCCGTGGGAACAGGCACCCAGGACTCACCCGGTAATACTCTACCGCACGATGCCTGCTGCGGGTCCCATTGAAGAACAAGTCACCTGCTTCTTCATAAAGCTTAAGAGCCAGGGAGGGCTCCTCTGACTTCAGGGCTTTCTGGATTGCAGCCTGGGTAGAACAAAGATGGCCGTCAAAGAAAGAAATATAGAGAGGACTTCTAAAGACTTACAGGATAAGCAGGCATATGATAATGTCCCATTAGTTTAACCTGCTAAAGCACATCCATTCTGAGTCGCTCTCACACTCTCGGGGCTCTGATCTTGCCATGGGGGTCTCTGATCTTGCATCTCCTCATCATGCTTGGAGAGATTACTTTGGTAACCCTAGAAGTGAATTTTTTTTTTTTGCAGTTCAAAAATGGATGTTTTGTATTTTAATAGTTAAGCAATGTGTTTTAGAGAAACAAGACTCTTAATACACCAAAACCTGTGCCTCCAGGTAGTATCATTGAATGTAAAAATCTAAGTTGCTGTCAAGTCAAGTAAAAGGAGGGGAGTCAATAATCCTACAGAAGATATGGCCCAACCATGACTGAGGCTTGGAAAACAGTTATCTAGGCCAACCCTTCCAGATGGAGAAACTGAGGCTCGGGAAAGAACGAGAAACTTCTCCAAGGTCAAGTTGACATCATCAATTAGTAGAAATCAAACACTAATGTTTTGTAGCCCATTGCCCTGATAATACCCAGGAGAAAAGAGAAAGAAATCCCTTTCTCTCCAACAAGGTATGTCTTCTCGTGTCTAAACAGAGTGCCCCAAGGCTCTGCAGCATCACCCCAGGACCTCAAAAGTCTGCGGTGGGGACAGCCCCAGAACCTCAGGTGGCAGTCCATGGTGGGGTGGGCCTGGATCCCAGTCATAGCATGTGACCATGAACTGGATCTGAGTCTGAGTCCCCCAAACAGCTCCCTTGGGGGCAGTGAGTGATGGGCAGGACAGCACTGTCTGTACTCTGAAAATGCTTCCAGCTCTGCCATCGAAGAAGGTATGATATTCTAGAGCTGAGAGGAATGCTTTAAGCCAAACTACCATCTTTACTACTCACTAGCTGTTAGACCTTGGGCAAGTTATTCAAACTCGTTGAAATTTGTTGGCAAGTGGGAATTTCCTTAGCAATACCTGCTGTATTTGTAACGAGAATTAAACTGCATCACGCATGTGGTACACTCAACAAAGCCTTGGTGTGCTGGAAGCCTGCAACACATACCACATCAGGCTTGGCAGAAGTGAGTCAGGTTTAGGTAACAGAATAAAGGGAATAACAATGGGAAGGAAGGACAGATAACAGGCCTCTTTTGATATAACAAGTGTCGTTACATATCAAAAAAAGCAGAAATATTGTACGGGTATTCGTAGTAATAATAATAATCCTATTTATTAAGCATTTTCTAAGTCCCCAGCATTTAATAAATGCTTACTATGTGTGCATATTTATGATAAGTCATTTCTAATCCTTAAGCTAAGAAATGAAAAAAGCTGAGATAGCTCAGTAGCAAGCCCATAGTCCCAAGGTACCCAACTGGCAACCACGTTACGTGGTGGTAGGCTGGTCTGTCTCCAAAGCCCAGGCTTTCTATCACCACACTAGACCATAACTCAGACTCTGAAGGTGTGCAAATAAAAGAATCCCAAGAGGCAATCATGTTGAAACCTTCTATATATCAACCCTGACTTTAATTCTGTTACCTAAACCTGACTCACTTCCAAGCCTGATGTGGTATGTGTTGCAGGTTTCCAGCACACCAAGGCTTTGCTGAGCGTACCACATGCGTGAGGCAGCAAACCGCACAGTCAAAATAAGTGTGTGTGTGTACTAGTATCATTTAAAGGAGAACCATAGGGAAACCAAACAGAGGATGAGGAAAAAGGCAGAACTTACAGCACACCATAGAGCTGAGGTACACAGCAGGGAAGGGGAGGGAGAGGGATCAAGGCAGGGGCGGTAAAAACACAAAGGACTGAGGTGATGGATGGATCACAGGTGCCACCACGGGGGGGGGGGGGGGCAGGGTGGGGCAAGGGGAGATTATGGGAACAACACCAGAGGAGAAAATCAAATATTATACAAAAATGAACAACAACAATATAAGAAAATTTTAAAATAGATTTTAAAAGATGGAGGTGAAAGATGATCAAGGCAAAGAATCAAAAAAATAAGGGGCGTGTCGTGTGTTTGTCGGGAAGATGGCTGCACTCACGTGACAGGTGGGCGCCCCTCTATACATGGGACTCAGAATCTGCGGTTCACCCCGCCAGACCTCCCTGGGTTCAGGCTTGTGCCCAGAGAGCTGCCCCCACCCTCCCTCAGAGGACTTGGCATGGATATTTCCTCTCTCTAGTTGCAGCCAGTCACTTTGGAGGGGACAACTGTCTGCCCGAAAGTCCCGAGTCAGCAGTGGCGCCAGCGGAGACCCACCTGCAGGTACAGCTCCACCAGCTCGTCTTCCTGCATGAGGTAGTGGAGACGCCCCGCCCCCAGCCAGGCCTCAGCGGCCTTGTCTCTCTCTCCCAGATCGATGAAGATTCGCAGGCTCTCCTTGATGCAGGTGAGAGACCTCCTGAGGGACCTGGAAGGCAGACATGGACTCACAGGGTATGAGGCCTCAAGGGGACCTGGGACTTGCTCAGCACAGAGGAAGCCAAGGCTCTGGGAGTGAACAATATGTCATCATATAGACTTTTGAAGCCCAGATCTGCTTCAATCAGCCGTGTGATCTTGAGAAAGTATAGCACCTTTTTGTGCCTTAGTTTCTCTATCTGTAAAACGGGCATATAATTGACTTGCCTCTGAGGCTCATTGGGGGGGTTAAATGAAGTAACAGAACTAGAGTATTTAGAACAGTACGTAGACTAAGCACTTGGTGAATATTTAAATGCTAGTTATCACTACTTTTTTTTAAGATTTATTTTATTTTTTATGCAAACAAGAGCTGGGATGTTGGCCAAAGGTAGGAGGGGGTGAGGTGAGAGGGTGTGCCAGAGATAGAGTGGGGAGCATAACAAGGGGGATCTACTGAAATAAGCTGCTAAAGGGAGCAGCAGGTGACAGGAAACATCTGCTGCGCCATGTGGTCAAGTCTCTGGCTGGGGATCAAACTCAAGCTGCAATGGCTGCAGCTAGCTTCATAGTGCTGAGACTTAACACCCTTGATAACTAGGAAGGCCTAGTTATCATTATTATTATTACAACCCATGATCTATCGCTTGTTTGACTATATTACAGAATTGTTTGGTCATAAGCCCTTAATAAGCAGTAAATGCTAGATGTGTATTTATCTAATACATGCACAAATAAATGACCACGGTGATGACTTTGATCTTTGTTTAAGAAGGACAAGCAAAGGACAAAAGTTTTTAAAGCTGGTGCTTAACATAGTATTCTTGACTTTTCTGGAAAATTGTCTTATGTAGAAAACCCTCCTCCATGGCAGGGATTAATGACAAAAAGAGGCAGAGGTAATACAGAGTTGTGCAGATTCAGAATTCTAGAATAAGGCCAAGTACTGGAAATCATCCAGACAGTAGTCTCAGCTCCAACAACATCAGAATGAGCTGGAAGCTTTTCAGACACACAGGAGCAAGCAAAGTCACCCCATTTGTTGACATGGAGGCTACCGAGGGCCAGTCTCTAGCAGGGGCTCCATGTGTGGCAAGTCCATGTGTGGGCTTGAGACTTGCTGATCTCATCCAATCCCCTTATGGCTTGTGCACAACTGGCCGAAAGATGAGAAATGACTGCACTAGGCAGCCCCCCACACTGGTGAAGATCGAAGCCAGAACCCCCTTCTTTGAGTTCCAGCCCAGGCCTCATTCCACCACACCTCCACTCTCAAACCCAATTCACAGCCCACCTGCATCAGCATTATTCAGGTTCGCTGAAAACACAGACTCCCGGGGCTGACTCTGCATGAGAACCATTGTGGTTGCATACCAGGAATCTCTATTTCCAAGACACACAAGACATGTCCAGGTTATGCTAAGACTCAAGGAAGTGTGAGACCACTGCACAAAACTATGCGAATCCTTCTGGACACTTAGGTCATTCATTGACCAGTCTGTGACCAGTTAGTAGGGCTTCAGCAGATGTAACCATCACATACTTGAGCACAGGGATGGAAATAAGCATTGCCTTTGACTAAGAAGGCCCCACCTGAGCCTTCTTATCAATGAGGCAGCTACTGTACTAGAGAAAGTTCCAGACTCTTGACCCTTCTAGGCTCTGAGAAAAAAGTGCCTGATGTTCTCTATAGGCCTTATGACATAAGATTTACTGCATCAGGATGAGGATTTGTCACCCTCTCACCAGGCTGCTGCTGAGACTGGACTGCTGAAACTGGGCAACTGCAGGCAATGCTGGAGTTCTTGCCCACCTAGGACAGAATTCTAGAATCTGTGCAACTCTGCATTACCTCTGACTCTTTTCTTTCTTAATCCCTGCCATGGAGGAGAGTTTTCTACATAAGACAATTTTCCAGAAAATTCAAGAATACTGTATTAAGCACTAACTTTCACTACAGGAAGCCCTGCCTTTCTCTAATCCACTCTGTACCCCCAAACCTCAAGCAGTGTTGAGAGCCATGGCAGGACTGGCTTCCATTACTCTCCCCAAACCCACTGAGAGATCTGATGGAGACAGACTGAAGCACATCCTCCAAATCCTGGTTTCTGGTCTGTGTTTATTCCCACTTGTTCCCTGGGAGACTTTAAGGCTATTTTCTCCAGACCCCCAGGAAACAAGATTTGGGTTAGGAGAGAAGCCATCTCACAGTGTAGGCATTTGTTTCTTGGATTATTCTCTCTTAGATCACTGTGTCTATGCACGAGAGACAAGTACCTCTCTCCAGGAAATATCCCACGGGGGTAGGGACAGAAGGAAGAGGAAAGGGTTTATGGTGACCCAGCTACTCACAAGCACTAACAAGACTTCTAGAGCATTGAAGGGTTTCCCAGAGATCACTGCGGCCTGCCAAGACTCACACCTGATCCATCACTGCCAGTAAAACACAAGTTGTCTTTATGATTTTAAATTATGAGGTAGTTGGCAACTTCCTGGGTTCTTTCCCATCAATACTTTACCTCTGTCAATCAATAATCTCTGCCTTATGACCCACCAGATGAGTCAGTGGCTTGGCCTGGAAAGGTTCCTCTAGTTACTCCCTGAGACCGTAGGTTAAAAATGAGGAGCATGGCTGGTGGAATAACACGGGGTAAGCCTGAGCCCAAGTCTTGTGCCTTCTGGGACTTCCCCGACAGAGCTCTCCATCCGTAGCTGAAAGTATCCTCCCCTTTCCTTCAAATCTTGCCATCTCTCCTATTAATATGTGCTGTCTTTGACCTCAAGCTTTGTAAGAATGGAAATCCCCTGTGGTATGTTTATTAGTTGAAGAATTCCATCCATGACATCAAAACCCACTTATATTCTTCCTAGAATAACTCAGTTCTAGGGGAAAATATTGTTCCTGCAGATACATTTCTTTATGTTCTTTTATCAGACAGTGAAAACCTCATCCAGTTTCCCCCTTTTCACCTTAGCTACCAGGAAGCTTAGCGCTAAATTATAGTTACCACCTCCAGGTGCATGGACACACCTGCTTCTCTGTGTCTGTTAACTGGCCTTTGTTCTTTTGTCTTCCTTTTTTCTCAAATAATCTGTAGAAGTAGGTGATTCAAACAAAACAAAATAAGGCGTGGGCCCTCCCTGGTGGCGCAGCAGGTTAAAGCACAGCACAAAGAAGCTTAAGCCACTAAAAAATATCCTAGCGCACTATGGTGATGGCACATGGGTGATTTGGTGTTGGGAAACCCAAGGGGACTGCAACTGAGATGGAAAAATGCACAAAAATATGTAAAAATAAAGTAATATATTTTTAAAAAAAGGAAAAAAAATCCTAGTGCAGATCAACTTCCAACACCTCCAAAACTCTACTCCCGCATAAAAGCAATGACAATCCTGGTTAAAAAAGAAAGAAAGAAAGAAAGAAAGAAAGAAAGAAAGAAAGAAAGAAAGAAAGAAAGAAAGAAAGAAAGAAAGAAAGAAAGAAAGAAAGAAA